ACCCACATTGATACATTTCTGACATCTATTAATGGGCCTAATTCAAATTATGTAATATGTATCATGTGGTGATTTTCTTTTAATTCATTACACCCGCCTTCTATTTTTACAGTAGTAGTGGTCTTGTATCAATTAGATTAGAGTAAACTTTACTTTTCATAACCCTAAATATATAAATCCAGGGGGTTTAGATCTGGCGACCTGGCCGTCCAAGACACTGGACCGTTGACATTGGCATTTGTTTTTCTACCTATCCATTGTCCCATGTAATTTTCATTAAGCCATTCTTGTATTATTCTTCCAGAATGCATAGGGGCACCATCCATTTGTATTAAGCTATTTTGTCATATATTTCATGAAGCTTTCTCTAATAATTCAAATAGATGATTTTCTAGAAAGTTTAGAAATGACTGGGAATTTAGACGAGGTCGCAAGAAGAAAGGACCACAAACTTTTTTGCGAATAATTTCGAGCTACACGTTCACAAAAAATTTGTGTTGAAAAGATCTCGTCCGATTTTCTTATAACCAAATATGCAGATTGTGAAAATTCACTACTCTTCGCCTTGTAAACGTAGCCTTGGTGCAAAGTATTTTTAGTAAAGAATTCTGGATTATGTTGTGACCTGTTTAACAACTGGCAAAAATTCAAGCGTTTCTCTGCATGTCCCGGAAGCACAGGTAAATGATACGAATTTCTGCAATCCTTATGTAGAACTCAAAATTTTCGATTTACTCACTCCGAGTTGCCAAGACGCTCTTCGTGTACCAAGAATCGTTCCCAAATGCTGTTACAATTTCATTTCTGAGCTTTTTGTTGAATCGATAGTGTTTTTCCAAACGTGAGTAAAAAATAGGGTACTATAACAATAAAATCTTAAAAGGGACCACCGTGGAAAGGACTTGCTCGGACGGTAAGCTAGATGGCGGGGCGTTTGCTGGACCTCATAACAGTTCTAGACTTTTCAAAAAAGGATCAGGGTTGTCAGTGTTAGTTTTAGCATATTCAAAATTGACATCTGTTGTCTTTTGAGATTATTTTTCTGTTAATTCTACATTAGTTGTAATAAAAAGCTATAGAAGAATTTCTCGTTGTTGAAACCATGTATTACGGTTCAGGAATATCTCGGTTAAATAAAGAAAACCTGCAGTGAAGTAATAACCCAAAAAACCTCCCCGTAACATTGGCGCCCAACGTGGGGTCCGAGTATACTGGAAAAGTGGTGCATTGTTTTCAGTTGAACGAGAAGTATTTCGCTTTTGTTAAGCAAGAATTGTGCGTAATAACAATCTGTGAAAATTAACTGACTCGAGTGTGAAAACTGTTACGTTTTACAAACGTTGAGTAAAAACAATACTTCTTTATAGTAAAAGTACGTTGTTTTCGCACATCGCATATTAAAGACACTAAAGACATTTTTCAAAACGTTGTTTCGTACCAGAACTGACGTTTCTCGAAATTGAATTTTTGTGTCAAGTTTCAATTATTTTCGCTGGATATAGGTTCCATCGCATCGCTGCTAGTGGATTCAAATCAAGCTCACCCACTAAGCCGGATCTTTGAGGAATACCTAAGTATCTTATTTGAATTTTCTGCAGTACAAACTGTGAGTTTTACTTTTAATTTGCATGCTGTAAGTGGACATCACGACGGCTGAACCCGGTAACTATTGGCTTCGTAGTCAACAGCAACTTTCCGAGATGACTGTCACATTAACCGATGAACAATTTAAACAATTAATGGACAGGTTCCAAGTTGGTGGTTCTTCCACGCCAACTCCTGCACGTAGTGGGAATTTTACCAAGTGTTCTTCGCGTTTCGATGGTTCAAAAGTCTCTGATGTTGGCGCGTTTATCAATGCTATCAATATTTATAAAGATTGTACCCTGATTTCTGATGACAACGCACTTCGTGGCTTACCGATGTTGCTTGATGGTTTTGCTGCAAAATGGTGGCTTGGAGTTAAAACAACAATAACTTCGTGGGAAGCGGCAACTGACCTTTTGAAAAGTACATTTGGCCCCGTGAAACCTCCGTATCGCGTATACAAAGAACTTTTTTCATTAGAGCAAGATTTTAAAACTCCTACTGACATTTTTATTTGCAAAGCAGTATTTTAGCTCAGTTACCAACAGATACTCTTTCTAAAACCATTCAGTTAGATATGGTGTATGGTTTGTTAAATCAAAAAATTCGTGGCAAAGTTCTTAGAAATAAAATTGAAACTTTTCTGAACTTTTGAAACAGTCGCGCATTGCTGAGGAAATTTTGCATGAATCCTTTGATGTTGACCAAATCTAATTTAAAGAAACCACGTTGTTCCTATTGCCGAAAATCCGATGCAATTTCGACTCCTCCCCTAGCACTTTCCAAACTGACGACATCTTTAACATGTTACGGTTGCGGAAATGTAGGCTATGCACGAACAAATATGTCCAAACTGTAAGGCCTCCTCAAAAACAGCCGAAACGTCTTCTGTCGAATTTTGTATGATGAGCACAAAGGTACCAGGTTACTCGTTATCTGCCGAACTAACCCCCAGATCTCGACCTATAATGTACATTAACATACTAGGTTCACGTGGTATTGGTATTTTGGACACGGCGGCGGCTAAGCAAAGCATTGCTGGTTACTCTTTGTACAAGGTTATGGTTTCTAAAGGACAAACCTTCACGGAATATAAAATTTACGTCAAATTGGCTGATGGAAGTTCCAAATTCGAAACAGTTCTTGTCACTAGAGTAGATGTAACCTTAGAAGAACATATTATCCCAACAACATTTATCGTACTGCCTGATGCAGTTAACAATAATACACTCCTCGGAATTGATTTTATTCAAAATGCTAAATTGTGTGTCGATATTGCAACTCGTATGTGGACGTTTTCTGATACGCTCGATGTAAAGTATGACCTGCATTTTGAACCAAAACAACAAAATGTTAAAACGGAACTTCATTCGTTTAATTGTCTACGTCCTGATGAAGCCGTTATGCTGTCTTCTACTGAAAAGGATATCCTTAATTCACTGTTGGAAAAGAATGATGATATCTTTCGACTTGGGGGAGAACCAACTCCATATGCAATGCATTACATAAATACTGGGAATGATCCACCGATATCAGTTCCTCTATATCGAATGACACCCTGCAACAAAGAAATTCTGCGGAAAGAACTTGATGACCTCTTGGAGAAGGGGATAATCGAAGAGTGTGAGTCACCGTGGGCCGCGCCTGTCGTTTTATGATGAATGACTCTTATCCGCTTCCGCGTATGGACGATTTGTTACATGCGACAAAACGAACTTTCTTCATATCTACGTTAGACTTGAAATCGGGTTACCACCAATTAAGTGTGAATCCCGCGGATCGTGATAAAACCGCTTTCACTACTCCATTTGGTACTTACCGTTTTCTCCGTCTACCTTTTGGTTTAAAGACTGCACCAGCTAGTTTTCAGCGCTTAATTGACAATTTTCGTCGTGATCTTGGTGAAGTATTGATACTTGCATATTTAGACGATCTCATAGTGTTGTCAGAAACATTTCAATCACACTTAGAAGACCTAAATTTAGTGTTTGCTAGACTCAGGCAATTTAAACTATGTGCCAATCGCGAAAAGTGCTCATTTGTATGTCCTACAGTCAAGTATTTGGGCCATATAATTTCAAGTGAAGGTATTCACGTTGATCCAGAAATCAAACATGCCGGTTCCGCGCAACGTTAAGCAAGTTCAGTCGTTTTTACAAACCTGCTTTTGGTATAGGCGGTTTATCGAAAATTTTGCTGATATCTCTAGACCGTTGAGTGAATTCACGAAAGAGAAGGCTCCAGCAAGACGCATTCATACGGCTGAAAGGATTATTAGTCACGGCTCCTATTCTTCGTCAAAATAATCCAACCAAGCCTTATATACTAAGAACCGATGCTATCAGCTATGCATTAGGTGCTGTTCTCCTACAAGGGGATAATGAAGACGAACACTCAGTTGAATAAGCTAGTCGTCTGTTATCAAAGGCTGAAAAAAACTATTCGACAACGGAACGTGAAGCATTATGTATTGTCTGGTCGTTGAACAAATTCAGCGGATACATTGAGAATTCACCGGTTACTGTAACTACAGATCATCAACCCCTGCGATGGTTGCTAAGCCTTAAGTCACCAACTGGAAGACTTGCCAGGTGGGCATTAACCATACAGAGCTTTGACGTCAAGATAGAATATGTACCGGGGAAACGAAACGTAGTGGCCGATATGTTATCTCGTCCACCTTGTGAGCGTGACAATGAATCGACATGTGACATTTGTATTATTACCATTGATCTACCCAGTCGCTCCGCTGAGAACATCAGAGTAGAACAAATGAAGGATCCGGATCTGCTTAAAATTATCAACAGTTTTGAAGATAGCCACCATGATGATTTTGCAAAATGGACCGAAAGAGGATACACAATGTCTAGTGGAATACTTTACAAATATTCAGATGAAGATGAAGAACCCTAATTAGTTGTTCCGGCTCACGAAAGAGAAATGATAATGAAAGAGCTGCACGATGCTCCTACAGCCGCTCATTATGGTACCGAACGTACAATTCGACGAGTAGCTAAAAATATTATTTCACAGGAATGAGTCACGCTTGTCAGAGATATAAATCCACTAACCAAAAGCCAGCAGGACTTCTGCAAACTCCTGTTTACGCCCAACGATTTGAAACCTTGTCTATCGATCTGTTTGGTCCACTTCCCGAGGCAGCCTCAGGAGAGAAATGGATTTTCATCATAGAAGATTGTGCTTCAAAGTGGGTTGAGCTTTTTGGACTAGTTAGAGCGACGGCAGAAGAATGTGCCAAAATTTTAATAAACGAAATATTTTTTCGATATGGATTTCCACGACATATTATTAGCGATAATGGTGTCCAATTCATATCTGGAATAATGCAACAAGTTTGTTTTTGCCTTAATATAAAACAGAGTTTTATACCAGTTTATCATCCGTCTGCTAATATGGTTGAACGGAAAAATCGTGATCTCAAACCTCGACTGGCCATTATGGTAGGAGACGATCATACCTCTTGGATCGACAAGTTATCAACTATAAGATTTGCAATGAATTCAGTATATTGTGCAACCACAGGAAGCACCGCTGCCTACTTAACCTTCGGTAGAGAACTTAGGACTCCCGATGATATCCATAACGATATTCGAACAGTGGTTCAGAGTGAAAACCTTTTACCTCAAATTACTCCGTTCCTAGATAAAATTGCAGCTACTTGGAAAGAGGCTAAGGAACTTTACGATCTTGAACAAGATCGTCAAAAGCAATATTCAGACCAGAAACGGACCGCAGCTCCCTTGAATCAGATTGGTGATAAAGTTTGGGTAACTACTCATACACACAGCGACTCCAAAAAGGGAATAACTTCCAAATTTGATCCAAAGCGGGATGTTCCATATGATATTTGCCGACAAGTATCTCCTGTATCATTTGAGATATGTGACCCTGAAAGTCCAACTATTCCTCTTGGGGTATATCATGTATCAGCCCTCACTCCTCACCTTGGAACTGGAAATGATAAGCCTCAAATTGCTATCAAAAAACTAGGTCGACCTCCGAAGAAGAAAAAGATTCTGGTTCCATGTCGGGACGACTTGTGTAACCAGAGGGGGAGACTATAACAACAAAATCTTAAAAGGGACCACCGTGGAAAGGACTTGCTCGGACGGAAAGCTAGATGGCGGGGAGTTTGCTGAACCTCATAAAAGTTCTAGACTTTTCAAAAAAGGATCAGGGTTGTCAGTGTTAGTTTTAGCATATTCAAAATTGACATCTGTTGTCTTTTGAGATTATTTTACTGTTAATTCTACATTAGTTGTAATAAAAAGCTATAGAAGAATTTCTCGTTGTTGAAACCATGTATTACGGCTCAGGAATATCTCGGCTAAATAAAGAAAACCTGCGGTGAAGTAATAACCCAAAAAACCTCCCCGTAACAGTAAAGAATTTTGTTGATGTACTTACAAATTGTAAATTTTATTATTATTATTAAATATTGTTGTAATATGGTTAAAATTGTCTGCCACAAGGGGATTATATGTATGTATAAATTGAGAATGGCGAATCTTAGGCAAAAAATTCAAAATACCTTTTTTACGTATTATGTACATTAGAATACAAATCCGTTACAATACCTTGTAAAAAATGCAGTATTGTAGGTTTCTTTTATAAAAAAAATGGGTAACCACTGTCTAGTTATACACCACTGGTTGAAGCTTTAGAGACCATATTTTAGAGAATGCATGGCCTACTGTCGAGGAATATGATCGATGGGATCGGTAACGACGGCATGGGCCCTCGGTGGAGACCTCGGGAGTTCTAATCGAGCTCCACGTTGGGCGCCATGTCGTGATATATGACCGTTTGTGCCTAATGTTTGAGAATTGTGCGGGGAATTTGCAACATGGGCTCGCCGCGAAGACGTCGAAGCAGGACTTCGAGCCCCACGTCGAGCGCCATGTCGTGAAGTATGATCTGAATGTTGTGTTTGGTCGGCATGGGTCCTCAGTGGAGGCATCGGGAGTTCTAATCGAGCTCCACGTTGGAAACCATGTCGCAACCTGTGATCTGGGATGTTAGTTCCCTTGACCGGGTTCCGCGGCAGGAACGCACGGAGTTCACGGGGATCGTCGCTATCGACGCCCGGTCGCACTATATTCTCTGACGATTGGAATCTGTGGTGGATATGACCTACAGACGTGGTGTCTAGGACACGAGCTCGCGGGGGAGATCTCGACGAAGAAGGTCGAGCTCCGCGTTGAGCGTCGTGTCGGGTTAGACTTTCTTGATATGGACCACTTAGGCGATGATCGTATGTTCGGGGGAAATCATGAGAATGGACGGGCGACGTACAAGTATTGTTTTGATAAAAAAGGCCGGCTTCGTCACCTATGACGTAGTCGGCTAAGGGGTTTTCGCTTACTATGGCACCCGAACGCGATGCGCATTGCTCCCGCTGGATACCACTTCGTAAAAAAGCTGAATGAACTGTAGCGTCGTCACCGACGGCTAGCTCACGTTCCGAAACACCCGACCTCGGAGGTAGGCCGCTATCGGGGCCAGACCGTGAACCGTGGTTGGACTCATGGGATTCCCCGGACCCTACCAGTTGGTACGTAGGTTGAACCTCGTCCCGAGTATCTGTGGGTGACCCACTTCGTGGTAACTCTTGGTTGCTACTCGGATCCGCGAGTGCGTCGTGAGGGGTGGTCGAGATGGTGCCAGTAACTCGCGTAGCAGCGGACCTCAACGCGTACGGCGCTGTGGCTGCGCCGTGCCGCGTACTTCCGCGAGCCACCATCTTCGGTCCCTCAGACTCTTCGCGGAGCATCGATATAGCGTTGGCAGAAGAGGCCATTTCCTCTTTCACCCCGAATGTCGAGAGATCTTTCGCCGGCAAACAGGTGTGAGGGCAGTTCGTGTGACCGCTGGTCTCTCCGATTTGGGACGAGGTCTCGTCCAGCTCAGTCTTGATCATACTCACACGATCTAATTTATTATTCGTAGTATTACCTTCGAGGGCACCAATCCTCGTAGCACTGGATTTCGTAGTCGCGTCGCAGGGGTTCATCTTCCCCGTACGACAATGTCGGAGCAAGCTCTTTTGCTCCGAAAGTCTTGTAGACGTCTTGTAGTAAGCACTGACTCTACTATTAAATGTGGGTCTCTCGAGGGAGCCCTAGAAGTAAGGATAACTTCTTTACTAAATTTGGAAGTACGCCGCCACAATAACGTGCGTACTATTGCTTTGTGCCCGTGGGTCACAAAGTAAATGCCTCGTAGGGGTTTGACGAGGAAGGTTGCCTCGACGAGTGACCGCCTAGAAGTTTGACGAGGAAGATTGCCTCGGATTTGCAGATCTCAATGGAGTCTGAATTGTAGGTCTCGTAGGAGCCTATGTGTGTACTTTGTACCGAGGTGCGGGTCTCTCGATGGAGCCGGCACAGTCGGAATCAAAGTCTTCGTCGGAGGGTCGCAAGCCTCGGACGGTATGCAGGTCTCTGGAGGAGCCTGAAGTATCGCTGTGTCGATGCGAATGGCTATCGCACAGGATCTTCGTCGGAGGTGGTCAGTCTCGGACGGTTTCGCAGGTCGCAAGTGGATCCTGGAGTTTACCGCTGTTTCGATGCAGGGGGCTATCGAACAGGGTCTTCACCTCAGGCTAGGCTACCTCGGGTGGTTGTCTCGTTAAGCGAGTAGTGGTTGCAAAGCACTATCAATATCACGTCGAGGAATGGCAGCCTCGACGGAAGCCTCGTGAAGCGAGCCTGTGAGCTTGAGCTCCAAAGTTCTTGAGCTTGATGACAGGGTTTTTTCAATCAAACCGTGGAAGATATGTTAAAAGTATATATTGAATAAAATTAATAAACAACAAAGATTCACAATTAACATATACAAGTTATTTACCATGAATAAGATTTGTTACAATTCGCTCTGTATCGCTTTCCGTCTCATGTACTCCCACTGAAGTACTGTAAACGTCAAAAGTAGACGTTCGATCACTTTTGTGGGATTTCCATACTTTTGGCGGACCGGGCCTTGAATTGTCCGCCAAAATCTCGAACCAAAATCATCCATCGTCCCCATCAACGCCGGGACTCGTTCCCCTCTGGCCTCTCCGGATAGTCGATGTCGGCGTCGGGGATTTTGGAGTTTTTTCCCGGTTTGGGAAAAACTCTACCCGCGGTCTCGGCTTAGGCTGCCGAGCATCGCATCCAACCGCCAGAGCGGTGGAACCTTCGGAAGACGGTCCTTTCGGCCCAAAGACGGGGAAATTGGAAACATCGGTGAAATTTTCCCCGTCTTCGTAAAAGGGCTTACGGAGGTCTTATTTCTTGATGGATTCATTTGAAATTTTGTCTGTTGATACACGGCATGACATAGTGCCGTGGTTGGAGGGTTCGACCGAGATCGCGCGGATACTTTCGGCGGCAGCTCTAAAGGCGTGAAAACCTATTATGGCTTAGCTGGCCGTTAGTAGTCGGGCGATTCGGTTCGAATTTGGATATGACAACCACCTAGCGATACTCTAGTGTGGTTGGAGGGTTCGGCCGAGATCGAATGAGCGGAACGGCTGAAAACGCGGAAAACGTGAAATCCGCGTTTCCCCGTATAACGGCGTTTTGGCTCATCCGATTCGGACGAAAATTTAGTAAGATAATGCTAGCGACTTGAGGAGTGCTGCATTAAATTTTGACACCGATCGCTCAATAACTTTTGGAGTTATTGGCGATAGCGTCCTTGACCAATTCAAAAGGGTGGTGAAATTTCTAATGGCCATTTCCAAATGTCATCGTGAAGCGTCCCGGGGTTCGACTGCAGGTTGCGAGAGCAGCGGCAGTGGTCACTGCGCGCCGGGATGGCAGACCCAGGCGAGATCGGTCGCGATGCGGGTGACACTGGAAAGGTCGGTGAAATTGGTCTTTAACGCTCTGGGAGCGCTATCGCCGTGAGGATCGATGTCTGAAGACTCTCATGGAGGCTTTTTCATTCTGCCCGGCCGACGGCGATTGATTTCGCAACCGTGGCGGGTTTTTGGTTTGGATTGGAAAGGTAGGTGAATATGATTGTTTCGCCTCCTTTCCAATTCAACGGTCTCCGGCATATCCGTAGGTACAAGATTATGACTTCTATGAATATACGGGGTGTTCTGAAACCCTGAAGCTCGCTCAAAGGGTGGAATACGACACTACTATCATACATTATCTGCAGCAGATTTTATTGCGATAGGTTCAAGAGATATAAACAAAAAACAATTTTTTTTTTATACTTCAACATTTTGTATCTCCAAAACGAATAAAACGATGCTGTTCCGGACCTATGTTTATAAGGCAAACACCTACTATATTAAAGAGATCTATATGCCCTTCCTGCATAAAATTCGGACCACCACATCTAATTCGATCGGTGGATAGAAGTCAGCACTTAATACATTTGTCTGTCCTGTGAAGGTGAACGTGCGAGACATGACTGATACATAAAACCTATTCACATGTTTTATTATTGATTGCAACAATTGAGAGGTATTATCTTCCCTGAGTTTGGTTGTGGTATCACTACATTTGCACTGACGTTGTTATCTTACACTAATGTGGCATTGTGCAAGTTATAATAACAGACGAGTTTTTTTTGGTACAGGACTATCATTCACATCTATACAGGGTGTCCGGTAAGTACCTCCTAATCTCTCGG